ATATTTTGGGAATGCAGTGGCTTAAGGCACAGGGAAGCCAACATATGCTTTGTACTTGTCTGGGCAATGGAATCAGCTGCCAGGAAACAGGTAGGACATATTTTTAAATATTTATTGGCATATAAAAGATGTTTCAATCATGTACCCTATGATAATGCATGTTCCTAACTGATTGGCATAAACTGGCCCGAAGGTCACTACTGTTAAAAACAAAAGCATCATTTATACAAGGTTATGTGATGAGTCTGGCCTTTGTACAATTAAGCCTATAAAAGTATGATCTCAATGGATTTGATGTGAAGGTAGTTTAGTGTGGTCGGTTTTTTTCATACTGTTATCTTCCTCCCTCCAAAATCAGCCAGACTGTGACTTTTTCTTATATACAAACCCCCTCTATAACTATACACACACACACACACACAGAGTGAAATCTTGAAATTTTTTTGGACTACAACCGACTTTGATAGCAATTTCCACTGTATTTTATTATTTGTGTAATGAAATTATCATACAAATGATGTAAATTGATGCAAGTAATATAATTTGCATCATTTGTTTGATCTCATTGTTCAATCTATGTCAGTTACTGAAATGACATACTTAAAGTTTTATTTTATTTTTATTTTTCAAAACACAAAACATAAAATACATCTTTTTAGAGCAGGTGCTTGTTCCGTCATATAATAAGTTATTAAGATTCCCACAATCAATTTTGTTCCCATTTTTATCCAATTACATCTTTTTTTTTAAAAAAAGAAAAAAATCTTATTCTAAACATTTATCATTCAATTATTTCGCCCACATTCTAGACTATAAACATCATTCTAAATCTCTATCATTTTAAACAATCAATATTTCATATACATTTCTCAATTTAAGACCCATTACGCCAAATCTATATTTCACCTCATCTTGATCACAACTAATATCCAAATCTTATCAAAAATTTATTTCCCTTTTCTCTTAGAATTTTTACAAAATCAATCAACATTTCGCTCTGTAGTTTGTTACTTCCAAAGTATTTTATTTTGATTTAGTTTCTCCATAGTTATTCTCTTATACTATTAAAATTATTTGGCTAATTCATAGCTTATATAACTCCAATCTGATTATTTAACTGGTTCACAGTTATATTATTATTTTCCTGTAAAGTTTCTTCCACTTCCTCCTAATTTTATTTTTTAGCTGGTTCACATCTTGATCTGCTGCTTTCTAGCAAGGCTTACCTCCACTCCTGACCTTAAATTATTTTGGCTGGTTCACAGTATGATTTTACCTACACACCAACCTTATCTCCTTTACTCCTCCTATATTTATTTTATAACTGGTTTGCAACTTAAATAGTTGCTTTCCAGCAGTGCTTTCCTCCGCTCCCACCTTTATTTTTAACTGGTTCACAACTATATTTCAATTGTTCCCCAGAAATAATCTCCTCCACTCCTAACTTTATATTTTTTGGCTAGTTCACAGTTTAGCTTTAGCTGTTACCCAATATATGCTTTCCTCCACACCTAATCTATATATTAATTGGTTCGCAGCTTTATTTTAACTGTCTTCTAGTGCATATTTTCCTCTGCTCCTACCCTTATTTTTAACTGGTTCACAATTATATTTCAATTGATCCCCAGGTATAGTCTCCTCCACTCCTACCTTTTTGTTTTTAACTGGTTCACAGTTCATATAAACTATTACCCAGCGTATGCTTTCCTCCACTTCTAACTCTGTTTATTGGCTGGTCCACAGTGTTGCTTTCACTGTTTTCCAGCTCATGCTTACCTCCACTCCTAACTCTTATTTTAATTTTTAACTAATTCCAAGCTTTGTTTCAACTGTTTTCTAATATAATACCTTCCTCCACTCCTACCATATTTATTAACCTGGAGCAAAACTCTACTTTAGCTAATTTCCAAAATCATATTTCGCATTACTCCTAGTTTTACATATTTAATTGATTAATAACATTTTGTTTTAATTAATATTTTGCTTGCCTTTTCCTCCCTTCCAACTTCTCTTATTCAATCTGTTAGCTTCAAATTATTTCACAATGTATTATCCATATTGTTTTTCCATTTATTCTCCTCCATATTTCTAATTTAAAATAAAAATATATTTTAACAAATATCTTCCAATGTCTTAAAAAACCTTTTCTTCTAAATGGTTGAATCTATGAAAAATTCAAAGTTTAAGAACAAGTTAAAGCCTCCAGAGATCGTATTTTTCTTAGAACATTTGTGCTCTTATTTCTTAATCAAATTATTTGTGTATTTATATATATATTAAAACAAGGTGGTGATAGTAATAACAAGGAAAATAATAACAATAGTAATTACAATAAAAAAATAAGGAAGTAATAGAGACATCAGTAAAAAGGGAAAGGGGAGTTTAAAAATAACAAAAAAAATTAAACAATTATATTAGAGAGAAAAGAGAGAAAAAATAAAGAGGGGGAAAAAAAGCAGATGAGAAAAGAGTAAAACAAAGAGAAAAAAGAAAGATAAGAAATAAAAAGAAAGCATAGAGAAGAAAGAAAAGTATCTCCTAACATTAATCATTCACCCAATAACCATTACATCCATTTGAATCAAAATATGATATTTTGTTATCTTGTTACTTGATTTATTCCATTGTTTTTTTTCTCCAATCTGTCCAAATGTATTTCTTTTCATCATGTCTTCCTTTTGTTGCCATGCCTTTCTCTTATAATCACTTTTATTTAGTTCAGTTTCCATTATTCCATTTAATATCTTCTTTCAAATCTTCCATAAGTCCTCCAGTGAACAGATTATGTATCAGAAGCCAAGGTCTCTAAGTCTTTTCTCAGTGTCAATTCAGTACAAGTAACAAGCGACATAGTTTCTCTTTTCAATTAAAAAATAGTCTGGGATTCATACTTTCACTTCAGAGCTAGGAGCCATTTTATCCATCACCGTTTGTCTTTTGTCTTTACTTTTAAAACATAGTTGTTTCCTCTTCTCCTTCCTCTCTCCCAGATATAATCCAGTCTCACTCCACAAAATCAGTCTAGCCTCATGTATCCACAGGAAAAATAAAAATAAAAATAGTTTAAAAAATTGTAACTAAACCATTTCCACACAGTCATAATAAGTGCTTTCTATCAAACAGGTCCTTTGTCTTTTAGCCCCTGTAGTTGTTAGCCGTTATTAAAACAGGGGCTCACTTGTTGCAATCCACATCTGAGGGCAGCTGCCGCCTGGGCAATTGTTAAACTCACCCGGCATAAAGCTCCCTGTTCTTCTCCGCTTCTCCTCCTCTCCTCCAGCACGATCTTTGTTCCCGGTTGCTGCGGTTTCGGGACAGCCGCCGTGGCTGTCATTCCACTGCTGCCGGCGTGAAGGGAAAACCTCCAGCCCCGAGGAACCTGACCGTTCCTCTTGGCCGCCCAAGGGGTCCCTTCTTGTCCCCCTGTCCCTTCAAGACAGGGGAGGTCCGAAGACCTGTCAGTGGCAGCTTGGCAGACGGGGTTTTGGCAGAGCTCTACGGAGCTCGCCATTTCCCCATCTGTATCCCCGTGGTGCCAACCGGAAGTGATGACATACTTAAGGTTTTCAAAGACAGGAACCAGGATCCCATTGGTTTGAAAAACTGAAGTTTCACTATAATATGTATTTTTATATAAATGCTAAATATTAAATATTTTTCTGAAACCAAATAACACCAAATTCTTGTATAATTATAATGGTATTCTATTTTTTTAAAGCTGTGACCCAAACTTACGGTGGCAATTCCAATGGAGAACCTTGCGTTTTCCCATTCACATATAATGGAAGGACTTTCTATTCATGCACTTCTGAAGGACGTCATGATGGGAATATCTGGTGCAGTACAACCTCCAACTTTGACCAGGATAAGAGCTACTCCTTTTGTACAGAGCAAAATGGTAAAATTTTTCAAGAAAAAAATACCTTGGGAAGAAATAGGTTGCAGATTTTAGCATCCATTGGGAAAGTGTGGTCATGGAAGTATAGAATATATTAATTATAATTTAGCATTCTTTCACTGAGTATGATTAACATGCCTTTTAAAAAAGACTGGGCTGGGTGGATTTGCACTGGATAAAGGATACGAGGAAAGTCTTGAGAACTAGGCAAGTGTAAGAGGGAATACAGAAGTCAAACGTAAGTCTATCAGAAAGGCTATTCAGTGCAAAACATGAAATGGGGTTGGCATAAAAAAGCTAGATTTATATCAAGAGGCTACCACAGTTTAACTAGATAACAATGGATAGTACATCTCTACAGATGTCTTATCAGGTAAAATGAAAAGCAGTAATATTGTATACCAGATTGCAAGCTTTCCCTAGATGTCTTGAAAGGATCTACTTGACTATTGCCTGAGGCAGAATATTTTAGTTACTTCTTACTTTGTAAAATGTCATTATCCCACTGTTTCTCTTCTGCTCCTGCCCATCTTTATTCTGAGCATGCCCACTTTTGGAGTATGGCTTTTAACATATCATAAATCACTCTGATCCTCCGTATAAAAGTAGTTTTCTGCTCCTATTCTAAGTGATTGCTTCTTATGTTTAAGTCTTCCCAAAAGTCTGAAATCATCTTTGTTTTTTGTTCCATGCTGAAATGAAACTGGGTAACAATGGGTTGGAGTCAGTTTTGCAATTTTTAGCTAAGGAATCTTGTCATTAGGAATAACTCAGGCTAATCAGTGTTAGGTGTTTTCCAATAGTTGTTTTGCTTTCATCCCATTAACTAATCCAATGAAATGCCAAACAGTATGCAGAGATGTTCAAAGATGAAAATAGTTTGTGCCATTTTGCTCAGTTGGGTGTCCACCTATATTTGTGAGGAGGAAGTGAATTAAATAGAAATTAAGCTAGTAGTCTGCATCTTTGGTTTTCTGCCTGTGTTTGGCTGGCATTTCTTCTTTTTTTTAAAGATAGAAGCCCAATATCGATATTAGGCTAGAAGTAAAGAGGTCTTGTAAGGACCAGCCCCACTTCCAAGAAAGTACGAACGCTTGAAAACTTTGTATTTCAAAAGGAACCTTTTATTGAAAAGGGATGAAAGCAAGTCAAAATTCAAAGCAGGCTCTGAGGTCCCTCAGGGCATACAGTCCAGAATAAAGGGAATTAGGAACCCCTTCCCCACCGTCCGATGTGGATTCCCACCAATCCGCCATTGTGAAGATGATACTGGCCTCTCTGAGAAGCAGATAAGAAGAGCTTCTCGGCCATTTTGCAATCCACACATTTCCCTCCCCACCACTCCCCATTTCCCAAGATGTGAGAATTCTCCTTCGAAGTCTGGACTGATCATAAAAACTTAGAAGCTCTGAAGACCCCATGAAAAGTCTCCCCCAAATAAGTACGTTGGGTGCAATACTTTAAACGTTTTAATTTTACCCTCAAATATCTCCCAGGAGGAAAAAATTTTTTAGCTGATGCTCTGTCTAGAAAACCACAATACAACAGCAAAAAGACTGAAATTGTTAAACCTATGCTCCAAACACCCCAGCCGCCAAAGTAATTAACTGAGCACAAGCCAAAAAAGAACCGCTTGCCGACAATGCAACGGTCTCAAAATTTAAGGAGGCACTATTTAAGGATGACTGGTTCCAAGCACACAAAAACATTTGCTTGCTCAAAGACAACTTAGCCTGGATTGAAAACAAACTTTACATTCGTACTAGTCAAAGATTGGAGCTCATGAAGCAATGCCACGACTCCAAGATAGCTGGACATTTTGGATTTGTGAAAACGCTACACCTAATCAAAAGGCAATTCTGGTGGCCATCCCTTAAAAAAGACATTGAGAGCTACGTGGCTAGCTCCCCCACCTGCGCAGCTGCAAAAAGGCGACAAGGAAAATCCCCAGGACTTTTATGAACTGTAGCAAAACCTTCAGCACCATGGAGAGAGATTTCTATGGATTTTATAGTGGAGCTGCCTGAAAGCATGGGAAACACAGTTATTTGAGTTGTAACAGACCTCTTTTCAAAACAGGTCCATTTCATACCCTGCCAGAAAATCCCAACAGCCAAGGCATTAGCAAAAATGTTTTTAGTCCACATTTATCGCCTCCATGGAGCTCCCCAACGGATTATCTCAGACAGGGGTGTCCAATTCATTTCCAAATTTTGGCGGGCTTTCTTAAACCTGTCCGGGGTGTTAAAGGCAGTCTTCCACTCATCCCCTTTCCTAATTCTGATGCAGTAGTATGCCTCTCATAAATCCAGCTTTGAAAAGATTTTTCCTTTAGAGAGGTGGGCCAGCATGTCCTTCATGAGGGGAAGTGGGTACATATTCTCCACGCTGATCGTGTTCAGATTAGAGTAGTCAATGCAGAGGCATAAGGAGCCATCTTTCTTTTTGCGGAATAACACTGGGGCTGCTATTTTTGGTCGGGTGGGTTCGATGAAACCCTTTTTTAGGTTTTTGTCGATAAATGCTCTGAGTTCATCTAGTTCTCTGGGGGACATGGAGTACATTTTTGTTTTTGGGAATTTAGCCCCTGGTAAGATCTCAATGGCACAGTCTGTGGCGCGATGGGGTGGAAGTTCATTGGATGCCTCCTCACTAAATACCTCAGCCAAATCCTGGTATTCTTTGGGGATGCTAGTGGGTTCAGCAGGGTGGCCGGTCACTGCAGTTTCTCTGTTTTCCTTTCCTTCCTCTTTTCCCTCCGGGACAGCGGTCACCAACCGGTGGTCCGTGGACCACTGGTGGTCTGGGACAAAGCTTTGATGGTCCGCGGCCCACTCGGGTGGAGGAGCTGCTCTGGGATGAGCAATGGCCAGTCCTGTGACTAGAGCTCTGGAACATGGGACTGACCAGGCAGCTCGTGGGGTGGGGGCTGTAAATCTCTGCTGTGGAGGTAGGTTCGTGCAACTTGCAACTTTGCAGCACAGCCCTCGCTGGCCAGAATGAGGTGGTGCAAGGGAGGGGAGTGGCAGTGCAGGTGGGCCGAAGCAATGAGTGACTGCAACCCTGAGCTATTTCTTCCCCCTGCTGTAGCTTCCTGTCGGCTGAACCCACCAGTGGCTGTCCTCACCCTCCCTTCCCAGTTACTCCTCGCCTGGCCTGAGAAGGGAAGGGCTGGGGGTGGAGATTTGCTCCATATTCCAGAGCGGGAGTGAAGCTTCGTCTCTTGCTGGATCTCGCTTTGCTTCGTCTCTTGCAGGATCTCGTGGGCGTTTCTTCCAGCCCTTGTTGTGCTCCGCACACCTTGGTCTCTCGGGGAGATGCTTGACTTCCTCTCAGCTCCAAGACACTGGCTGGCCCATGGGATGAGAGAGAGAATGAGAGGGAACGAGAGAGAGAGAGAGAGAGAGAGAGAGAGAGAGAGAGAGAGAGATAGAGAAACACAGAGAGAGAATGAGAGTGAGAAAGAATCAGAATGAGAGAGAATCAGAGAGAAAATGAGAGAGAGAGGGACAGAATGAAAGAGAGAATGAGAGAGAGAGAGAATCAGAGAGAGAATCAGAAAGAAAGAGACAGAGAGAATCAGAAAGAGAGAGAACAAAAGAGAAAGAGAATCAGAATGAGAGAATCAGAATGAGAAAGAGAGAGAGAGAGAATCAGAATGAGAGAATCAGAATGAGAGAGAGAGTGAGGGAGAGAGAAAGGGAGATAGAGAGAGAAAGGGGGGAGAGAAAGAATGAGAAAGAATGAAAGAGAGATAGAAAGAGAGAGGGGAGACAGAGAGAGAAAGAGAGGGGGGAGAGAGAGAGAGAGAGAGAAAGAGAGAGGAGGGAGAGTGTCTGAAAGACCCCATCCCGTCACTGGGAGTCTGGATTCCAGTGCTTTAGCAAGCGGCGCGCTGGATTCATATTAGTGGTCTGTGGGATTTAAAATTATGAACTTGGTGGTCCCTGAGGTTCAAAAGGTTGGGGACCCCTGCTCTGGGATGTTTGTGAAGGTTACATGCCCCTGGAATTTTTCAGTTCCTCTCTTCCAGTTTATTTTAGGGTTCCACTTCTGTAGCCACATGAGCCCTAGGACTATGGTACCTGGATGGGGGTTTTCATTTTCCTTAGGTGAATTCCCAATCTCCCTGCCAGGGTTGGGCTAATTAGGCATTGGGTGCACCCCGAGTCCAGCAATGCTGCTACTTCCTCCCTTTTCCCTTGGCTGGGGATAAAAAGTCTTAGGGGTAGGGTGAGCAGTTTGATTTTGTTGCTTACCAGCGGGTCGTCTTCTGGGTCGCTTTCGGACTGGCTCAAGTCCTCTTGGGACGCTGGCGTTCCTCCTGATTTTGGAGGGGAACGGAAATCCACGGCCTTTTGGCTTCTCAGCACGGTTTCTATTCCTCAGGGGTGGTTTTGTAGGCTTTCCCCCTGATGGGCGATCAGGCTTTCTGGCAGGCGTTTTCGACTGACATTCTGCTGCACAGTGCCCCTCCTTCCCACACTTAAAGCAACCTGATGGCCTTGCTGCCATGGCGGTTTGGGGTTTGAATGGCTCTTGCTTCCCCCGGGGTGGGGATCTTCTCCAAGCCCTGCTGGTGCGGTTTTGGGTCATGTCGATCTCTGCCTCCTCTGCCATCAGATACCATTCATGCAGGCAGTTAAGGGTGCCATGGGCCAGGCAGGTCGTTGTTGAGTCCATCTTTGAACCAGAAGACTAGGATATCTTAGACAAAAAACGTATAGTTTATTGAATCGCCCGAAGGCCTTTTCAAACAAAACAGAAAAGAAAAAGGGAAAAAGATAAAACAGTTACAAAAATAGCAATCTAAAAATATATGATAGATGACATTAAAATTTTACAATATCAAATTTCAATAGCTAAGTTGCCAAGACTAGATAACCCAAATAGGATAGCTCCTCTCTAACTGAGCTCATCTTCCTTACAATCGATAATTTTTTTTTTGATATAACTGGCTCGTATTGCCGTCATTCTTTTAAGGTATCGAGTGATCGCTCTTACCAGGGGAGGAGAGTCAGTCCTCAACAGAAATGCTAATTTTTGGCTTATATTCCAGTGGGGAAATTTATTTATAATTGGGGACAGATATTGTTTTCTTACTTCTTGATAGAGACTACATTCGAATATTATATGCGCCGTGTCCTCCACGACGTTTACCCCACATATGCATATTCTTTTGTCATACGGGATTTTCCGATAACGGCCGAATCTAACGTTGGTATCTAGAAGTTCGAATCTAAACTTAACAAATAACTGTCTCTTCACTGATGGCATTTCTAAATGTAAATACTTTTCCAGAGTGAAAGTTGTTTTAACTGCTGTCAGCAGTTTAAGGGAATGATTAGTTGAAAGGGTTGCCATGTCCATTTGCCCATGTATATCTTTAATCCGTTGTTTAACTTGGTTCAGTGTGTCACACAACGGGAACCCTACGCCATATCGGTTCAATATTTCTGACAGCCGGGTTAGCCAGGAATATCTTTGAGGATTTGAAATCTGCTGTTCCTCTAGACATATTTTAGGGAGTCTGCTGGCATCCATCTGGGTCATTTTTAGCCAGTAGGCTACCGCCCTAGTGATTGTATAGGTGTACAGTGAGAAATGTCCCAATTGACGGCTGCAGCTGAAGTGGAATTGTTTACCCCAAGCATCCTCCTTAACAAATTATTTTGAGTTCTCTCTAATATGGGGGCCTCTGTAAGACCCCAAATTTCAGCACCATAGAGCATGATCGGAACAAGTTTAGCCTGAAAGACTTTACGAAGAGGTAAAATGGAGGTTGGTTGGATTCGTTTACTTAATTTGGATACAAGGCTTGCTCCTGCTCTGACCTTTTGAGAAAGGTATTGATGGTGCGGAGTCCAACCTCCTGCACTGGAAAAAACAATTCCAAGATAAGTATATTGGGTAACTTGCTCAATTTTTGTGTCATTAATCTGCCAATTGTGCTTTTTATTCTTATTGCCAAAGACTAAAAAACTTTTGATTTAGCTACATTTATAGTCAAGTGGTTTGCAGTACAGTAACGTGTGAGCTTGTGAAGAAGTCTCCTCATTCCTACTTGGGTTCTAGAAAACAACACTAAGTCATCGGCATACATTAATACGTTAATAAATCTAGAGCCTATTTGGGGGCTGTGCGTCAGAAGATCATCCAGCTGCGCTGGGATATCATTTATATAAAGGTTAAAAAGAGTAGGGCCCAGCAGGCAGCCCTGCCTCATTCCTCTAGTTGTCGGTATGCTGTTTGTTGAGGCCCCATTTGCTGCATATCTGACTCTAATTGCCGTATTAGTATAGAGAATCCTGATCAACAAAATAAGTCGGGTCCATCCCCATAACTTGTAGTTTCCTCCACAAGTGGTTCCTATCTATAGAATCAAAAGCAGCAGTAAGGTCAATAAAGGCGGTATACAGCTTTTTCCCCTGGGTCTTGTATTTATTAATTAAGTGGGAAAGGACAAAACAATTGTCTATGGTAGACCTACCTGATCTAAAACCTGCCTGCTCATTTGCCAGAATTTCCTTATCCAAGCACCAGTCCTCTATTTTATATAGGAGATGTTTCGTATACATTTTTGAAATTATATTAAGAAGACTGATGGGTCGGTAGTTGGATGGGGCAGCTCTGTCACCTTTCTTAAAAATTGGAAAAACTATAGCTAACCTCCACCCTTCAGGGATTATCCCTACTTTATCGATATAAGTAAACTGCTACCAGCACCGGTACCCAAAAATCAATGTTGGACCTAAAGAGTTCAGGAGGCAACAAGTCCTCTCCAGGGGCCTTCCCGGCCTTTAAGGATTGAATTATATGCTTAACTTCGGTAGGGGTAACTGGTGTCCATTCCGGACATTTCCTTAATTCTTGGTGGAGGATATCCAATTGCAAGACATTTGTTGTATTGTTACCATCAAATAAAGCAAGATAGTGCTTCTCCCATTTTACTGCTGATATATCACTGTCCATAAATGGGGAACGTTGTTTTAATATACCGGCTATCTTATGCCAAAAGATCGTAGGGAATTGGGATTTCGCTGCCATTTCTACCTCTTTCCACATCCTGGTGTTATAGCTACTTTTCTTGTTTTTCAGTAGGGATTTGTATGCTCTCCTAAATTGAACCATATTTGAATAATCACCATCCTGTCTGGATCGGTTAACTTTCTTAACTGCGGCTCTTAGATTTGACCTCAAGTTATGGCAATCATCATCAAACCATTTTCTAGAGATCCCATCTACTTTTCTATCGTTCTGGATCATTAAGTTCCTAAGAGTAGAAGTTAGCTCTGTATAAGCTGGCATTGGGGTGTTGTCTCCGGGCTTAGATTGGGAGATTTCCCTTGCTAGGTGTCTGGCTTCGTCTGAGCCCAAATAAGTGGTGACAGATTTGACATCAAGTCTGTGCCAATATAACCTTTTATAGTTATAAACCCGGGCGTTTGCTAAGGTGTCAATTTCCTCTCTTGAATGAGGCCTAACTTCTGAAGAGAGTGAAACCAGAGCCGTGATGGGAAAGTGGTCACTTTCCTTTCTAAATATAGCTCTTACTTCTGAAAAATGGTGTACTAAACTAGAGGAAGTGCAGATATAATCGATAGAGGTTGAGGTTTTGTTGGACGAGAAAGTATAGGGATATATATACCCATCACTCGAGCCACTAAGTACTTGCATATCATTCATAAACAGCAGGGAAATTAACCTCTGGGCATATTTATTGGTCCTCTTGTCCATTGAGGACCAAGTGAACTCATTAATAAAACATTTTTAATGGTAACAAGGCAAATAAAGCCATTCAATACAATATACTTTTTTGTTGTTGTAAAACTCCCAATATTTTTATGTAGTTTACTAGGAGGAAATATTAAGAAATAACTGACAATCTCTATGAGAGATTCAATCCACAAATTAGATACTCAAGATGTTATTAATTTTCTCAACTATAGCACATACTACAGATGAAACTATAATTAAATCTCCTGGCTCTTTCTTTTTAGTCAATAATTCAAATAATGGATTAAGTAAATGCGTAGGTAACAAAAAATATGAGCCAATCTAATTAATAGTACCCAGCAATTGTTTCAAATTTACTAAAGAAATAACTTTTGCTAACTTTAAATGAGGAAAAGCTGGAGCAGAAAGAAAACTGCAACAGTTTATGTCCTAAGTACAGATAAGAAACCTGCAGCTGTATTTATTCTAATCAATTTACAATCCATAGACACATAAACCATTTTATATTTCAGAAAGCCAATTAAGTTATTTTTTTTAACTCCAATTAAAATATCCATACAATGATATACCAAATAAGATAGAAATTTCTCACGAAATGCTGGCACAAAGTAGGAGAATTAAGCATGCCCTGTGGTAAAACACACCAATGATATCGTTTATTTGGCATGCTATTATTAAAAACACCACACGGGGACAGTAGAGAGTCACTTAAGGAGAAGAGCCATCATCCAAAATCAATTTTGTATTTAAAAAAGAAAGGAGGTCCCAACCCCAAATATTAGTATGAATAACAAAGGGCGAAAGGAAGTAATAGAGAGGATTAAGCAATAGAGGATCGATCAGGAAGAATTTGAGGAAGTTTTATTCACCCAAGCCTGAATAAAAAGAGTTCCAATGTAATCAGAATCAATAACACCAGTGACTACAAAGCACCCCTTTTTATGAGAAGGTAGCTGGAGGAAGCACAGTTTGAGCAGGAATTTAAGCAAATTTTTCTTTATCCTGTGGTTGAAATGGAATAGTAAAGAAACAATCTTTTAAATCAACCGCCAACAATTGATAAAAATTAGGAATTAAATTAGGATTAGGAAGACCACATTGCAAAGGACCCACTAAACCAGAGGGAAGAGGGCCCTTAAATTGAGAAGGAATAAATTTAACTTCCAAAGGAAATTTAAATTCCACAGATTCCTGAGTTATTAAATCAAGCCCAGCATTACCTGCTGTGGCTGGAACTGCGGAAGAGAGACTAGGGGAGGAGACATGGCTACGGGGAAGGCACTCTTTTTTCCCCTCTACCAAGCCTCTGGCAAAATTACCACTAATACCATAATCAGTGACAGCCTTTTCTCTTAAAATTTGATAAGGCAGTCCTTCCCATTCTGCAATCTGCTGTCCTGCCAATTGACCCTGGCCCTGATGATACTGTACCGGGCATACAGACAATTCAGCAATTTCTTCCCCAGGCATGGAGGAATCCTGTTTACAGGATTTCACCATTTTCTGAAAAGAAGACTGAACAACAGAGTTAGAAGGTTTAGTAATCTGATCTGTGTCAGTAGGAGCTGAAAGAGGCAGAATCACATATTCTGGAGAGGAAGGAGGACAGACAACAGCATTGGAATAACTTGGAGGTGAAGGAGTTAAAAGAGACAGTTCAGCAATTCCAAATTTTTCCACTGCATATCTACATAAATGCCATACCTGCAAAATCTCTACCTTAGCTCTTGGTTCAGCATGTAAAACTTTCCCAATTTTTTCCCAATCAGATAATCTTAAAGACCCCTTTTCAGGATACCATAAACACTTATTTGCAATCTCCTGGACCAGCCTTAAGAGACTGCATTGTGGCACATCAATGTGATTTTTCTTAAGTAAATAGCTTAATTCTTCCGCATGCTTTCTTTGTTCCTCAGAAAGCGAGGAGCCCATTACTTACAGAAACCTTTAGAAGGTTGGAGAAGCCATGAGGGCTGACGGTGCACCAGTCCTTGCCGGACGGAGTAAGGGTCCCTGTTCCTCAGGCGCCACTTGTAGTGACCACACACACACAAAGGTTGAGGATGTATGTGGGGGGTAACTATTGTCTTACATAGTGACATTATATAGTTTGTTACTTTCAAGGTACAGTGTACTTGGCAGCATCTCATTGGCTACAGAATCTTCCAGGTAACTAGAGTCTTTGGTTAACCATTACTGCTTTGCTTAAGGACTTATAATGTTATCTAGGGTTAACACACATCCCACTTCCTTTCCTCCTGTTCCTCTTGTTTATAGAGTTAGGGTCTTAATGCCATTTCCTGGCGCCTACATGTGAGTAACCTTCCTTATCTGAGGTTTGCCATCCAAGATAAGGAAACAGTCCTACACATAGCAGACTACAGGCTCCTACAGTCACCCCCTTGGCTCTTCCCTCCCAGCTGTCTCTCTTTCCTACGCCGATCGACCATCGGGCTTCATGGAGTTTTCGAGGACAACTTTGATGTCCTCGATGGGACATATGGAGCCGGTGTCTGGCTGGAGAGTTGTCGAAGTTTCTCCCCAGCAGTCGGCTTCCTCTTGCTTGCTGCTTCGTTCGGATATTGTTGCTGGGTCCCCTTGGTAGAGTGGAAATTAAGGGGGGGGGAATTTCCTCCGAGTTGACAACTATTGCAGAGCCTGCTTTATGTAAGGACCAGTCTCTCACCCCTTCCAAGAAAGTACGAACGCTTGAAAACTTTGTATTTCAAAAGGAACCTTTTATTGAAAAGGGATGAAAGCAAGTCAAAATTCAAAGCAGGCTCTGAGGTCCCTTAGGAATTAGGAACCCCTCCCCACCATCAATGTGGATTCCCACCAATCCGCCGTTGTGAAGATGATATCGTACTGGCCTCTCTGAGAAGCAGATAAGAAGAGCTTCTCAGGGCCATCTTGCAATCCACATGTCCCCCCACTTTCCTCTCATTTCCCAAGAGGTGAGAATTCTCCAGGCATTTCTGGCACCAGGCAATGGTTATAAATCAGGTTAAAGTTTATACAAAGAGGGCCAGACAGGAAATAGGATACTTAGGATACATGAGAAAGAGAGCTAAATGTGACAAATCCAAATCTCTTCCCTTCTTCCACGAAGAATGGCAGATATAAGGATCTGACAGGTCTTTTTAATCTGATGACTGCAGTGCTCTGATGTCACTCCAAGTCAAGCTGGAATTCTCAGCCAGGTTGCCATATATGGCAGCCCTAAGAACTAGCAAGGGGCTACTGTGGCTTTTTACCCTGCGAGGTCTAGAGGAACACATGTCTTAAAACGGATTCATTTCTGTAGTTTAATAGTATAATATTATTTTATTAAAAAAGAAATTACCAAATAATTTAAAGATATTTATGATTGCCTATTATATAAAAGAAGCATACCAAAAGCTTTGACTATTTGCCTTACATTAATTTTTAATCTTAGATGATGCAAACAATATAATTCTGCTATTGTCATGGGAGTTCTTGCAGAGAACTGGGTGTATAATCTGAAAAAACAGTTAAATTCTGCCTCACGATTTCTCAATTTTTTTTTTCCTGTGCCAGAGGTTTCTATTTTTTTTTTACAAGATTTTCAGAGAGCTTGTGATTTTTAAGCTTACTGGAGATGATTGTTCTTTTATTGTTATTAGATGTTTATTCTGCCTTTTATATATTTTGGTAAAATCAAATATGACTAGATACATGGTGAACATATCTAATAATTCTGCTTCCTGTGTATAATTTGGTCTCCTACTACAACCATCCTGTGAGAGGTAGGTTGGGCTCAGAAAGGAGGACTAGCCCAAAGTTGCCCAACTGGCTTTCCTGCCTAAGAACTCACTGTCTCTAGGGTTCTAGGCCAGCACTGTCACTATGACACCATCATTCTGGAGCTCTCTCTTGCCGGCCACACTTTTTTGATAGTAGATTTCTTCAGTTCTGAAGTTTTTTATGAGATTGATTTAGACTTGGTAGAACAAAACTAGTTTGAATTTTTGGCAGAGAGCTACTGTATAGACTAGCTATTGACTTGGAGTTGCTTTCATGCATTTTGGAACCAAGACAGAAGTGTGAGAGGCTAAGTCTCACAAAGTGGATAGAGCAAAGCATTCAGGCCTTTTTTTCCAAGGTGAGAAGGGATGAGCAGAAATAAAATGGATGTTTTAAGCCTTATAGATACTTAAAACCCATTTCAACCCTTAACTTTCCTGAAGGCCCTCTAACCAAATAGGGCCTGTTTGTGACCACTTAGGAATGCAGTCCTTGACATGCAAAGGTCGGTGCAGCTCTTGAGCTAATGGAAGTTGCAAGCTGACCTGACCCTGGTATGTGTCTTACGTTGTTTGGAACTTCTTTATAAACATGTTCCCAGCTTACATTTATAGTTAAAAACCTGAAAACATATCAATTTTAATTAGATAGTTTTAAAAAATACACCTCTTTCCCACATTTTATGTTCTCAGTAGTTCACATAAAAATGGCAAAAATTGCCATTCTTCGTTGTTGTTTCTTTTTCTTGTTTCTCGATTCCTAACATTTTCTTTAAATGGTGATTTCCCATTTGTCAAAAGAAAAATGACTTCCTAATGAAAGAAAAATGATTGCAATAAAGTTCCTATTATTCAGTTATAAATTATTCAGAAATAATTTTCATGAGTGTGGTATGTTGAACAACAGATAGTAAAGTAATTGGCATGTAGCTAAGCTACAGAATTTATTTGAATAACAATTGTTTTCTTGCAGTGTTGGTTCAGACACGTGGTGGAAATTCCAATGGTGCCCTGTGTCACTTTCCTTTCCTTTATAATAATCGGAATTACACTGATTGTACTTCTGAAGGAAGAAGAGATAACATGAAATGGTGTGGAACTACCTCAAACTATGATGTTGATCAAAAATTTGGATTTTGTCCCATGGCAGGTATATTGCACATATGTCTGTTAGGGCCCAATGTTATTCCTTAATTCTTGGGAATTATGAAAATATGATTTGATATAAGTATTCATTCACCTTGTATATACAGTTAGTTGTTGCATATAAAAATTAGCCTCAGTAAAACTGTTTTTACAATCTCATTATGAGAATAAAATTTGTGAAAATCTATTTAACACACATTCGGAATATAAATGGAGAATGTTCACACACATTCGGAATCTTCAAATGGAGATTCATATTTGAAGTGCTCAGAAGAAAATGAATGCTATTAGCACTGATATAAAAAGTATGGAAGAAATAAAATTCCTAAGAGCCAATCTTGTTATTTTCATGAGCAAGAAGCATGTAATCAAAATAAGCATAATTCATTTTTATATGTTTACTAGCTCATGAAGAGATTTGTACAACAAATGAGGGTGTTATGTATCGTGTTGGAGATCAGTGGGACAAACAGCATGATATGGGTCATATGATGAGATGCACTTGTGTGGGAAATGGCCGTGGAGAATGGACCTGCATTGCATATTCCCAGCTCAGAGGTAATTTTGTTTGGTTTGTTGTTACTCATAATGTGATATACCCAGTGGTGGGATTCAGCCAGTTCGCACCACTTCGGGAGAACCAGTTGTTAACTTTCTGAGCAGTTTGGCACACTGGTGGTTGGAAGAAATCATTAGGGCAGAGAAATGGTTGTTAAATTGCCTGAATCCCACCACTGGATATACCCAGTTAAGAGTTAGCACAGTAGGTAGTATGCTAGAATTGGGAAAGTCTTGATTTTCCAAATGGTTACTTACAGCTCAAGTAGCATAGTCAACAGTGAGGAAAACTTAAAAGAGCTGTCTCTGAAGGGGCACCAATTACCTCTCCTGAATTAGAGTACATTTGGTAAAGAAGACTATGGTATAGGATCAGTTTCTTTTAACTGTTAAATTTGTTACATACAGTTGCAAGAAAAAGTATGTGAACCCCTTGGGATTACGTGGAGTTTTGCATGAATTGGTCATAAAATGTGCTCTGAACTTCATCTAAGTCACAACAATAGAAAAACACAGTCTGCTTAAAATAATACTACACAAACATTGTAGTAATGTTTCCTGGACCCGGCTGTATTAGCAAATTATCGTCCTGTCTCCAACCTTCGCTTTGTGGCGAAGGTTGTTGAGAGTGTGGTGGTGCGACAGTTTCCCCGGTTCCTGGAGGAAACAGTTTATCTAGATCCGTTCCAGTCGGGTTTCAGGCCTGGGCACAGCACGGAAACGGCATTGGTCGCATTGGTGGATGATCTCTGGAGGGCTCGGGACAGGGGTTGTTCCTCTGTCCTGGTCCTATTAGACCTCTCAGCGGCTTTTGATACCATTGACCATGGTATCATGCTGTGCCGACTGGAGGGGTTGGGGATAGGGGGCACTGTGTTGCGGTGGTTCTCCTCCTTCCTCTCCGACCGGTCACAGTTCGTAGTGACAGAGGGGCAGAGATCGACCTCGAGGCGCCTTGGGTGTGGGGTGCCACAAGGGTCGGTTTTCTCGCCCCTTCTGTTCAACATTTATGTGAAGCCGCTGGGTGAGATCATCCGTGGTTTCGGGGTGAAGTGTCATCTGTATGCTGATGATACTTAGCTGTACATCTCCACCCCGGACCATCCCAATGATGCCCTTGATGCGATGTCCCGGTGCCTGGAGGCCGTGCGGATCTGGATGGGGAGAAACAGGCTCAGGCTCAACCTGTCCAAGACCGAGTGGCTGTGACTTCCGGCATCCCGATATAGTCAGTTGGTACCATCGCTGACTTTTGGGGGCGAGTCGTTGGCCCCCACAGAGAGGGCTCGCAACTTGGGTGTCCTCCTGGATACACGGCTGTCTTTGGAAGACCATATGACGGCTGTGGCCAGGGGGGCTTTTTATCAGGTTCGCCTGAACCACCAGTTGCGTCCCTTTCTGGATCGGGATGCCTTACGCACGGTCACTCATGCCCTCGTCACATCCCACTTGGACTACTGTAGTGCTCTCTATATGGGGCTCCCCTTGAGGAACACCCGGAGGCTCCAACTGGTCCAGAATGCGGCTGCGCAGGTGGTGATGGGGGCGACTCAACGCTCCCATGTAACACCTCTCCTGTGTGAGCTGCACTGGCTCCCAGTGGTCTTCCGGGTGCGCTTCAAGGTATTGG